ATATCTTGCACGTTCGTGGCAAAAATAATGGCACGGCCGACATGCTCAGTCGGTTTACGACCAAGGTGGATCTATGGATGGATCCGTGGCGTTATATTGTGGCGCGCCGAGGCCCTCTTCATAGTAATGAGTACATGGCCAACAAGAAGCAGTTTAATATTGCGGATAAGGCATGGGGTCCGCACACTCACGACGGGTTTGCTCTTCTTGGCAACAACCACCTGCCGAAGTATTTTTTCCCTTCTTTGGAGGGTGGGGCTTTGTCCCAATTACGGACGTTCCTGAACTTGTGGGTCAATTGTCCGTGTGTTAGAGTGTAAGATGGTAGTTTTTGAATAAAGCGTAATTGTGTATCTTTATTTACAACCTCACCTTTGGTTTTATATTCAAGGTGTTTGTGCTAGTGTTCAACCGCTTGGGTTGGCCAGGGTGATAACTCATATGGTCAGTATGAGAAACCTTTTGCAGAACACTTTAACACTTAGATATTGTTCTATAGCATAATCTCTGCTACTCGCTCTTACGCCGATCAATTCATGCTGCTTGGCTTTCAGAGCAATTCTCTCCTAGGTATCGGCTTTCGGAGTAATGCTCTCATAGGAGCAAATGTATTAATAACATGATGTGGTTAATAATTTGAGCCGCTTTTCGGAGTGACGCAACTCTTGTGATTTCATTCAAGAAAAAGAGTTTTCTTGCTATTAAAACTTGCTTGAGATCTGTAGTCTCTCACTCCCCCTCAATTCTACAATCCTGAAGGGTCTGTACTCAGTGCACTGTGAAGTTTGAAGTCGCATAGCTGGATTGTTGAATTGTTAACTTTGTAGAATTTTCGGTAGGGGTTTTTTATATATAAAGTTGTCAACGCTGAGATTCTGAGACCTGTTGAATTTCAGAAAAGATGTTGCAAAGTACCACTGTAGTGTGTAGGTACCAGGCATATCCGTGTACTTTTGACACTTGACAGGCTTCACGACTTGCGTGGATTTTCTTCTGTCTAGAAACAGGCATCACGGGGTCGCAGGAAAAATAAAATTTAAAAATGGGCGGTTTTGGCAACAGGGGCCAGACAGTGTGAGAACTGTTTCGATGATATGAATCCTTGGAGTAAGGTCCCTTCTGCGCCGGGGTTGTAATGAGACAAGCTTTTGTCTTCATGGAATGTGTTGATGATAAATCTTGG